CTTTCAGTCGTGTAGCTTAGGACTGGATTAACTTTTTTGGCAGGCATATCCTCATATTGACTCATGCTAAACGTTCCCTCAACTAAAACCAGCAGGCACATTTTTCATATATTTGGTATTAAGTCAAACCTTCCACATCCTGTGTTTGTACTGTTCATTTTTGGACCTAAAAGCTAGACTTTATATTTATTCCTATTAAGTTTCTTTGTGTTTGATTCAATCCATTGTTCCAGATGATTCTGTCATCTGACACATTATCAAACCCTGCAGCTTCTTGGCATGCAAATATGATCCACAGACACTATCATTTGATGCCAATGCTCAGCAGGCCAGCATTAAAAATAAAATTTGAGCAAACTTTTTTTTTCTGGTAAGCTTATATGGATGGAATCACTAGCAGTCTTGTGGTAACAGCTTCTCAAATAGCTAATAATCCCTCTGGTGTATATTTCTCTCTGTCATCCACAGGACATCATGAGACAAGGCTAATGTCGAGGAGGGTACCTCCGCTTTGTGAAGTCCAGAGACTAGAACAGGGGTTTTCAACCTCCGCACTGACAGTTTGTGTAGGACAAGTCACTTGTCTTGTACATTGTAGGATGCTTAGCCCCATCCCTGACCCCTACCCAGGACATGGAATAGGAACTCCATCCTTGCCTCCTATCCCCTCAAAACTGTGACAATTAAATGTCTCGAGATACAGCCAAATGTTCCTTGGGGAGCAAAATTATTTCTCCACCGCCTCACTGAGAAACACTATTCTGGACTCGGCATTTCTCCAATCTAATATAGTAACTCAATCCACCTGACCATTTCATAGCTATAGTTAAGAGTAAACTATTCATATATAGCACCAAATAGTTCCATCTCATAATTTAGATATGTAGAAAATAGTGAGATATGGAAATCATAATAAAATAATGGGAGAAATGGAGAGGTATGATATAATCCTAAAATTTAGAATTACATTTAGATTAACCCTTAAATTAAACAGTTACAGGGAAATTGAGCCTCCAAACAGCAATTCTCTGATTTGAAAAGGAAATCTATAAAAATTTTTGTACCCGGTGCTCATCAAGGAATTACTATTTGGAACAGTGAAAACTGGAAACACTACGTGTTTGGCAATAGAAGATAAATTATGGTATATTGATCTCACAGAATATTAGATAGTCCTCAAAATTACATATTTTTGTCCTAGTTAGTTTTGCTGAGTGGATAGAGCATCCCAGGTTTGATCCCAGTCAAGGGCCCATACCTTGGTGAGGCGCATGCGGGAGGCAACCATTCCATGTGTCTCTCTCACAGCGATGTTTCTCTCCCTTCCTTCTACTCTCCCTACAAGCAATGGAAAAATATCCTCGGTGAGGATTAAAAAATAAATAAATAAGTAAATTACATATTTTCAAAATATCAATGAAAACGTTCATAACATAATGCTATGAAAAAAAAGGTAAGATACTATATAGGACATCTGCAAAAAATGTGTACATACTTTAACAGCTAATAAATCACTTAGTTTTTGCTCCTTTTCAGGTTTAACTGATTTGAAATAATGGGTGAACAAAGAAAATTTATCCTAAAGTGCCATTAGACATTTTTTTATGGGGATACATAAAATATAACGTTTAAAGTACAAAACCCACAACAGCCGACAAACTGAGGACACACAAATATCCAACGCAACGATTATGGGTGTTTGTGATTCCACTGCTGCCTGTTATTAGCAGTGCCTAGACCAGAACGGTCACAATTTGAAAACAGGCATTGCCAAAAAAAATTATTCACTTTTGTAGATTCTTTTAAATTTTGAAAAGGAACTGTCTATTAATGAACCTGACTTTATAATAATTCAAAATGCAGGTATATCTTTTGAGACACCCTGTATAGTCTGTATGGATACAAAGTTTTCAAATGAATAATATACATAGTAAAAAGATTCCACAAATATTCATAGTGGTAATGAAATTATAATGGAATTATGCATGATTTTAATAGTCTTCTTTATGCTTTTTTATGTTTCCAAAATTTTCTTAATGAACTTATAGTTTTTCCATGCTTTTTCGTGCATGGGAGGTGCTGGGAAAAGTGATCTTTATTCCCTTAGGCATGAGTACTGGCAAGGGTTCCTCTGTGTGTGCAAAACCGTGTGCAGTGAGGGAGGCTGCTACGGAGAGGATGTATGAGAAAGATGACTGTATTTTTAGACTGTGTTATTCAATTCTCTTGGGGGAAAAAAATCTGTGTATCATTTTTCATAGAATAAGAGTAGTTCAATGTTCCAGCCAAACCCTGCCCCTCTAAGTCAGTGGTCCTCTGACATTACAATGCTGAAGAATCACCTACTAAACACAGTCTCCTGGGCTTAACTCCCAAGGGTCTCATCCTGCACGGCTGGTGTGGGACTCAGGAATCTTCATTTTTAATAAGCATCTCAAGTGATTCATTCTGATGTAGGTGGCCCATGAACCACACTTTGAGAAACTCCGCCTTAGGAAGTCATGTGGTTTGATTTGGATGAGAGTTGTGTTTTTTGCCTCTATTTTTGAGAATTTCTTCCTGGGTACTCACTAAATAGCCTTTCAGCGGTGTGTTAGTAAGCTGGCTCTTTGAAAAGGCAAACTCAAACTTTTTGCATTTGCCAATTTCTATGGAGTAGTAAATATTCTCACCATAACCAATTTCAAGCTACCAATGGTTTATCAACTAGCTCACAGAATTCTTAATAATGAATAAAAGCTTAATAATTGTCTCTCACAAGCCGGTACAAGCTGGCTTTAACACTGTATGGTATATAGTATATATAAGTACTTTAAATCCTTTGTAAAAGGGATACATTAATGAAAAAACTAGTAACTTGATGATATTTAGAACAGAGCAGTAAGCAATAGGATGGCTTGAGTCATCTTAAGGTAATAAATTCTAAATGTATTAGGAAAAAGACAACTTTATGAACTTGTATACACTATTCCTTATTTTGCTCTATGTTTTCCATGGCCATGCCACGAAGAGTGAAAGGCTCACTGAGTTCTTTAAGAGTTGTGAATTGGTTTCCTATGGATTATGGAGAGCCAAGAAATGGGACTCCGGGGTTGGGAGTAATGCCAAGTGTTCAGCCCCCACCTCTACCCTCTGTGGCCCTCGGCCCCTGAGCTGTTGAAATGCCCTTGGCCATTCATTCTATGGCACCCATCCATAAAGTCAACTCCTCCAGCTTCTTCCCCTCACACATGATTGAGACAAGTTGTCTCTAGGAAACCCATATCAGATGTGTTCATGTGTGGGACGTGGCCTAAGTGAAAGCTAATAGCATATTTCTTTCAATATTTTGACCGGACATATTTTTTTAAAAAAATGGACCTGAAGCCTATACAGCCAGCTGAGGCGAATTTACAGCCTTGCTTCAAGAACAAAACTCCCTCAGGCACCTGCTTCCTAAAAGCAAAACCAGAAAGGAAATGAACTCTTGCTTAAAGACAACCCACCTTATTTTATGGGTTATCAATTTTCTAGCTGGCACACAGTTCCCTAGCTACTAAGAGTATCTCCTCCCTTCCCACCCTACCTCCTGCCCCAACCCCAAGCAAGTATTGAGCCACGAAATAATGAAGTCTGCATTCTAGCAAACCGCTCAGTTTCCAGAGGATGAGGCATAGGATGTGGTGCATCAGTAAGTAAAGCCAAGGGAGCAGCACACAGTGATGTGAGCTCACCACACTGATGTCTTTGCCAATACACGCATTAAAACCTTTGCCCGAAATGCATTCTCTATTACAGGGTTACTGCCGTTTGGGCGACGCTAGAGAATCTGTCTTTCTTGTCTCGGGGCAGTGGGGCCAGGCGAATAGTCCACAACAATGGAATGCACTTGATTTCCTTGTAACTGCTCCACTGAGCCTGGGATGGAGCCTATCAACTCCTCAAATATGAGAAAAGACTAAATAGTTTCTTCTTTCTCCCCCTGTTGATAAAGCCAGTCTTCCCGATGGGAATAGACTATAAGATAGGGGTCAAAGTTTAACTGTAGACACTAGTAGTCTGCTCTGTGCTAGAAAACATGAATAAGTATGATTTTCTTGGTATACATGCCAGAGTATTAAAATAAATATGAGAAACTCTTTTGTTGTTGTTGTTGTTTTTGTTTTTTTAAAGGACTGAAAAAAAGCAAGTGGAAAGTTGGACAAATCTGACCTGATACACCATGAAGTCAGAATTGAATATTTAAAATTATATGCTAGTTTTGTCAAATCTCAGGCTTTCTCTGAGTTTCACTTAGTTGTAAAGGCACAACTAAATATGGAGAAATATGCATATTCTACTGCATGTTTTGAAATCAGGTATCTATGCATCTACTTGGGATAAATGCCAGGGTTAACATCACTGATATGTGAAGAACCTCTTGTCCAAATGGGAACAGTAAGCTCCTCAAACTGGAGAATGCAGTCCTTGCAAACTGTCATTATTTCAGTAAATGGAACGGGTCCTTTAACAGATGGGCAACATACTTTGCAACTCGCTGATAGCCTAATAAAAGACACTGGCTTTTAAAAAATGAAGGACTTGTACTTCTCAAGTTACAGTACCCAAATGGATTTAGCAGAATAAAATTAAGAAGACATACAACAGTTTGACAAAAATTAGGAACAGACTGTGGAAATATGATCGTTCAAAACATCAACATCAAAATGATCTTTTTTTTTTACTTAAAAAACAAACTGGTTGTTTAAACCATACGGAAAATATACATCGATAAAGTCAAAACCAGGGGGTATTATAAAATTATAAATACTGACATAATAAAAAAATGAAGTTAATTTCTTCTCAAAATATAATAAAAAACCTTCAAGACAAGCAATCCCCTTTTATATCAGGTACTTTTCCGTTTGTATCAGTCAACTTCTTATGCTACTTAGACTAAAATTTCCCCAGTTGATGGATGCAATAACCAAATGAAACCCAGACCCTGGCACACACACAACAGGGCTAGCCTTTCTTCTCACCTTTCCCGTTCCTCTTTCATCTTCTCCAGCTCCTCTTCTCGCAGTCCCCCATGCTTCAGAGGACCTTTCTGTTCAGCCTTCCCACCTTTCTCATCTTTCTTCTTTCCAAATCTAGTAAAACACAAAGGAGAAGATGGTTATTAACAATAACCATGCTCTTGTTATGGTAAATTTAAGATATTTATGAGATGAATCCATTAAACTATAATTCTTTATACTAAGTAATACAAAATCATTTTGCAGATAATGAAAGTAAAGATATTGAAAGCAGAAAAATAACATTGTTACTGAATTCTCTTCCTTCTACTCTCCCTCTTTCCACTCAGATATTGATTGTGCAGCATGCACAAAATCATATGGTTAAAGACTAAAAATGTCAAACCATTCATTCAGGAGAGATTAAAAAACTGAAAGGTTATCACCAACCTCTGAAACAGGACTCCAGAGCTCCAAGTGGCATGAAGATTTAAAGTTCAACTCATGGGATGATATAACAATGGTGCTATAAGGGACCTTACTGAACACCTACTTTAATACTGTCATTTTGCCGAGACCGGTTTGGCTCAATGGATAGAGTGTTGGCTTGGGGGCTGAAGGGACCCGGGTTCGATTCTGGTCAAGGGCATGTGCCTTGGTTGCGGGCATATCCCCAGTAGGGGGTGTGCAAGAGGCAGCTAATCGATGACTCTCTCTCATCGATGTTTCTAGCTTTCTATCTCTCTCCCTTTCTCTCTGTACAAAATCAATAAAATATATATTAAAAAAAAATACTGTCATTTTACAGATAGAGAACTGAAAGCTCTGAGAGGCTTTGGGCCTTGACCAAGACCACCTAACAAGTTCTGTACAGGGCTGGGATTAGAACTCGGGTTGCCTCCTCCACCACCTTCTTTCCTTCTCACCTTATTTAGTCTCCAAAGAGCCACAGGCTTCTTAAGTCAGCCCAGGGTGAGTGTGCTCTGAGCACCCCTTGGTGTCAGGCACATTTGTTGTTAACTGGACACAGTGGCGATACAATAGACATATAACATTGTATAAATTTAAGGTGTACAGTAATTAATAAATAATAATACAAGAATAAATTATGTTTTGCATACAACTATAAACCTACTTTTGGCCCACCCTGTGTATACCACTTCTCCTTTATCCATTTGTCTGTTGATGGACACTTAGGATGTTTTCATATCTTGGCTATTGTGACTAATGCTGCAATGAACATGGAAATGCAGATATCTCTGCAAGATCTTGCTTTCAATTCTTTTGGATATATGTCTGGAATATAGTGGATTCTGGATTGCTTGATCATATGTCAGTTCCAGTTTTAATTTTTTGAGGAACTTCAACTTACATTCCCAGTCAACAGTGCGCTAGAGTTCCATTAAAAAGAACAGTGGATTTCCTCAGCATTTTGAGAAACATAAAATTGCCCATTTGAAATAAAAAAGCTGTTAAATTATTAGCAGGACACATTCTTAAATACAGACATTTTTCCCAACAAATATTTTCTTCAGAGACAATCTCCCATGGTCTAGGTATCAACACACATAAAAAATAAAAAGACTTGATGTTCTGTTAATAAACAGAAAAAAATGTCACTAAGAACATTTTTCAAATTACACATTCTTGGGCTGACTGCTCCATCCCCACCAATCCCGCTCTTTATTTCCCAACCTTTAGACAAATGCACAATGAGTCAGAATCTCCTCACATGAGGGCCTGGCTTATAAACTTGTAAGAACTCTTGTTTTCTTCTGAATTTCATACAAATGGGTTATTATTGTTTTTTCTAGATTGTGTTTTCATCTACAGCAGAGGTTGTGCCCTAGCTGGTGTTGCTCAATGGATAGAGCATTGGCCTGCAGACCAAAGGTCCTGGGTTTGAGTCCAGTCAAGGGCATTTACCTGGTTAGGGGCATACAGGAAGCAACCAATCAATGTGTTTCTCTCACTTCGATATTTCTCTCTGTCTTTCCCTCTTTCTAAAAAAAATCAATAGAAAAAAATATCCTCAGGTGAGGATTAAGAAAGAAACAAAACAAAAACAAAGTGGAGGTTGTTAGTCAAGTGGCAGCTCTAAGTATCACACGTGGAAGACATCACCATTAATATCTACATTCTTGTTGGTATCAGAGTACAGATACAGATGCATCCTACTTTCCTCAGAGTCTCTCCCAATTGGGGCTTTTCTGCATATTGTGCAATTTCTAATTCCAATTAATAAATCCTCTTTCATGAACTTTCTCTCTTCCCATTGCTATCTCTCTATAGGCCTCTGTTCCTACAGCATTCCCCCACCCCATCCCCTTATTCAGCCTAGTTGTGGGATGTTGGTTGATTAAGTATCAGCTTTAATTCCAACACCAGCCTTTTTACTATCTCTCTCTTTCCTGCCTACCTTTCTGCATCTTTTTTTTTTTCTCAATGAAGAAATGACCTGATATCAGTTATAGACATAAACAAGGAAGAAAGAGAAAAATACAAAATTCAAGAGCATTAACTTTTAAATATAATTGAGATTTGCTGATATATTCAAGGTCTCTCTTAAACCTACAAAGCAGGAAATATTCCAATACTGTGTGTTTCCATGAATATATTATTTAGTTTTTCAGACTCTTGCAGAAAAGTCTTAGAAGTCAATATTATTACTCTAAAATTCTTTATGAAAGAAGTTAATACCTTAGTATATCACATAGAGAAACAATTTTCCCTTAAAATGTCATCAGATATAGTAATATTTGGGCAAAAAATAAAAATTGTGGGGAGTGAGGATAGAATAATGCTTCAGGAAGTTGATAAGGGCAAAATTTTTGCCAAAACCTCTATAGATATTTTCTCTGTGTCATAAATACCTTCTTCTAAGTTTGAAGGTTTTGGATTTTCTGAGACAAATGTAGTTTTGTTTTTGAAGGATAAAATTAACCTATGCCCTAGTATACTTTGATCTTTATTGCCACAACCAATCAAGTGTTTTTCCTTCCTGCAGCTGAAGTCTTTCAGTTATACTGCAGCTTGAGAATAGCTTACTATACTCCCACCATAGTGGAAGATGTTTGATCAAGAAAAGGTTGGTTGTAAGTAAATTTAGCAAAGCATTTTCTTCTTACTTAAGAATCATCAGTAATAAACCAACCAACCAATTCCATAAGTATTATAATTCTTTTGAATTAAAGTTCATGATCATTTACTAAAGTTTCCAATAAGAAGGGTGTTCATAGCTGAGAATTTTATTTCATTAACCAGAGAGAACAGTCACAAATTATTTTATTTTATAAAGTTTGGATAGGAATTATAAAACAATAATCTTTAAAAGAACTCCCATATTGTTAAGATGAGGAAATTAAGAGCCAGAGAAATTAACTACATTTTATTTATTAACACACAGAATTCTTTATTCCAGTTTTTGCAATCAAACAACTTAATTATCAGTAGTGGTGGTGGTAGTGGTGGTAGGGAGTTGGGCGAAAAGCATCAATTTGATGAGTTTTACAAGCCTTTGTTCTGCTTTCCAAAACAGCCTCTTTGGGGTCATTTCACAGCCATTCTTGCTTTCCCTGACACACAGGAAGAGGAGTTGGGGAGATTCAGATACCTTGATTCACTTCCCCATTAGCTATTTTTTGTAAGAAAATTCATGAGGACCCTAAATGGCTGAAATTGCTGCTTTGCATTTTAGGGTTTCAAATATCCACCGCATTCCAGGCCTCCCATTATCTATTACCTCGGAAATTCAAGATTGGCCATTCTGGGCGGGGTGCCTTAAGGAAATTGCTTTCAGGTCAACCTTGTTTTATAGAAAAGATATTTTCCTGAAGAGTTCTGTGCACACATATGGTTTCAATCAATAGAATCGTATGTTCCATGTACTTGGGAAGCCTGTTTAAAGAATTTTATGATGGATCTTTTTGTAAAGTGGAAAAATCACCTTTCAACATACCCTTTATGTAAATTTAGATTTTCATGAATTATAAGTTTGCTTAAAACACCTGTCCCTGTTCATTTCTATGGAGAGGTTATATGAAACAGCTTCATGGAAAACTAGCTTGCTAGCTTTCTTCTCTCCTTCATGCATTTGTTTTAAAAATATTTATTAGGCATCTCTTCCGTGTTATAGTACTTAGGTTGGTACTGTACTGGCATACAAAACCAGGCACTACCTCATGGAATTGACATTCTAATAGAGAAGACTGTTACCAAACAAGTGTAAAAAGTGCTATGAAGGGTATTAAGAGAGACAATGCTAGGATCTTATTGGGAAAGTGCTCAGTGAGGAAATGACATTAAAACTGATACTTCAGCCAAAACCGGTTTGGCTCAATGGATAGAGCGTCGGCTTGGGGACGAAGGGCCCCGGGTTCGATTCTAGTCAAGGGCACATTGGTTGCGGGCATATCCCCAGTAGGGGGTGTGCAAGAGGCAGCTGATCGATGACTCTCTCTCTCATTGATGTTTCTAACTATCTCTCTCCCTTCCTCTCTGTACAAAAATCAATAAAATATATTAAAACAAACAAACAAACAAAAAAACCTGATACTACAAGGGTGAGAGGTCCAGACAAGCAAAGAAAGGAGGTAAGCCTTGTCGGTGGGAGAATCAGCACACGCAGAGGACAAGAGGTGGGAAAGGCTTGGTACATCCCAGGCAGCGACAGAAGGTCAGAGTCGCTGAAGGAATGAGAACAGAGCAGATACTTGCACAGGATCCTGAGGGCAAGGAGGGCAAGGACCAGAGTGCAGGTCTGAGAGAAGCTCAGAGTTTAGTCTAAGAGTGACTGTAGGTCATTCTTTAGTAATTCAAGGAACTGAGAAGCTAGCCAAGGAGATTTAAAGAGTGTTAGAGGAGAAAGCAAGTCATTTTAAGCAGAAATGACATGTGATGTGTAATGGCTGTTCAGTGTATGATAATTCAAAACCTTTGCAGATTCCCAGGCAGGATGGCAAATGATCCAATATATATAGCTCCATCTCTGGCTTTTTCCACGTCTAGTCTCTCACGTAATTCACTTCATAGTTCTGCTAAGTACTGTCTACAACTTTCCTCCTAGATCCCATTGGGCTGTTTAGGCAGCTATTAGCATCCATTCCTTTTCCACTTAAAAGTAATCTCGAGCAATG